GGCGTGGTGGTGGGCGCCTGTAGTCCCAGCTACTTGGGAGGCTGAGGCGGGAGAATGGCGTGAACCCGGGAGGCGGAGCTTGCAGTGAGCCGAGATTGCTCCACTGCATTCTAGCCTGGGTGACACAGCGAGACTCCATCTCAAAAAAATAACAAATAAATAAAATCCTGGGCTCAAGCAGTGCTGCTGCCTCAGCCTCCCAAAGGGTTGGGATTACAGGCATGAGACACAGCACTCAGCCTGGATGAACTTTTTTTTTTTTTTTTTTTTTGAGACGGAGTTTCGCTCTTGTTGCCCAGGCTGGAGCGCAATGGTGCAATCTCAGTTCACCGCAACCTCTGCCTCCCGGGTTCAAGTGATTCTCCTGCCTCAGCCTCCTGAGTAGCTGAGATTACAGCCATGCACCACCATGCCTGGCCAATTTTGTATTTTTAGTCAAGGCAGGGTTTCTCCATGGTGGTCAGGCTGATTTTGAACTCCTGACCTCAGGTGATCCTCCTGCCTTGGCCTCTCAAAGTGCTGGGATTACAGGCGTGAGCCACCGTGCCTGGTGAGGGAACTCATTTTTAAAACTCTCGCGCATGTACAGTATACACTGCTATTTAGGTTTTCCTGTGGACTTAAATATATAAATGTTTCACTACATCATAGAGTCTTATGCACCAGCTGTATGAAGTCGCATTTCCGTGCACCTTCTGGGTGCATCTGCCACTTAAAAATATATTCCAGAGAATTCACTGTGTATAACCATCATTTAATGAACTATGTAGTCAGTACCTCCTGTTTGCCCTAGCTCTGTAAAGAAACAATTCTGGGCCGGGGGTGCTGGCTCATGCCTGTAAGCCCAGCACTTTGGGAGGCCGAGGCGGGTGAATTACCTGAGACCAGGAGTTCAAGACCAGTCTGACCAACATGGCAAAACCCTGTCTCTACTAAAAATACAAAATTAGGCCAGGCACGGTGGCTCACGACTGTAATCCCAGCACTTTGGGAAGCCAAGGCTGGCGGATCACAAGGTCAGGAGATCCAGACCATCCTGGCCAATATGGCGAAACCCCGTCGCTACTAAAAATGCAAAAATTAGCTGGGCCTGGTGGTGCATGCCTGTAATCCCAGCTACTTGGAAGGCTGAGGCAAGAGAATCGCTTGAACCAGGGAGTCTGAGGTTGCAGTGAGCCGAGATCGCACCACTGCACTCCAACCTAGCGACAGAGCAAGACTCCATCTCAAAAAAAAAAAAAAAAATTAGTGGGTATGGTGGCACATGCCTATAATCCCAGCTACTCGGGAGGCTGAGGCAGGAATACTGCTTGAACCCAGAAGGTGGAGGTTGCGGTGAGCCGAGATTGTGCCACTGTACTCCAGCCTGGGCGACAGACACTGACCCAGTCTCAAAAAAAAAAATAAATAAATAAAATAAAGTGTTCTGGGCCAGGTACACAGTCATTGCCTAATAACTGTTCTTCTGCCTATTTTGTACACACCTGGTGCCTAACAAGTACATGCCAACCAAGGAATTGTGATATAGAAACCCAACATTAGTGTCTAAGGAGTTATTCATACTTGAGTTCCTTAGAGCATCGAGCACAGGCTCAGGTACACAGCAGGTGCCAAATACATGTCTGTTTTCTAAGCCACTTGCCAACTGCAAAATGCCCTGAAAACATGCAAGGCGCTGTTTTTTTTAGATGGAGTCTCGCTCTGTCGCCCAAGCTGGGGTGCAGTGGCATAATCTTGGCTCACCGCAACCTCCGCCTCCTGGGTTCAAGCAATTCTCCTGTCTCAGCCTCCCGAGTAGCTGGGACTACAGGTGCGCACTACCACTCCCAGCTAATTTTCGTATTTTTAGTAGAGACAAGGTTTAACTATGTTGGCCAGGCTGGTCTTGAACTTCTGACCTCAGGTGATCGTCCTGCCTCGGCCTCCCAAAGTGCTGGGATTACAGGTATGAGCCGCTAAGCCTGGGCTACATGCCACGCATGTATGTGAGAAACGTCAGTTCTTGCCTCATATCTCGAGGACACTTGATAAACGGGCATTCCTTTTCCCTGTACACAGGAGGCACTCAATAAATGCAGAGGAGAAAATCATACAGGGGTTTCAAAGCAGGTGGCCCTGTGTCTCCCACTTGCCCATAGAGGGTCTGCCATGCAGTAGGTGCTTACTACATACTAGAATAACATAAACATCCTAAGGCTCTCAGTAAACACGTTCTCTTCCTTGCTTTCCTGCACTAATTTACAGCAGGTGCTCAAGACATGCATGGTCACTGTGTTTACATCTAAGGTCTTGCAAATTGCATAATCCTGTTCTGTGTATGTAGCTGGTGTCTTATAAGTGCATGTTCTCTCCCCTTGTGCTGCAGCAGCTCTGGGTGCACAGCCCCTTCTCCTATATACAGTGTGTGCATCCTAAGTGCACATCCTCTCCCCTTGATTGGCAGCACCTCCATAAGTGCACCGGCCTTCCCCTGCATACAGCAGACGCCTATTAAGTGTCTGCTCTCCTCTCCTCTGTACACACAAGATGTTCATCATGCGCTCATTCCCTGCCTTCTTGTCAGGAGGTGCCAACAGAGCTCAGGCTTCCAAAGGGTCCTGGGATCCACCTCAGAGGCTCCGCCCCTGATCCTCTCAGGCCCCGCCGTGATCTGCTCTGGCCCCGCCCAGATCCTCTCTGGCCCCGCCCTCCCCCAGGTCCCGCTCATGCTAGCTCAGCTCACTTGTCTGGTTTGAGGTCACGGTGCACGATGCCGTAGTTGTGCAGGTACTCGAGCGCCAACACCGTCTCGGCGAAGTACAGGCGGGCCATGTCCACGGGCAGCGGGCCCATGTTCTTCAAGAGCGTGGCGCAGTCGCCGCCTGGGAGAGGGGCGGATGTAGTCATGAGGCCCAGGCCAGTGCCTCGCCCCCCGCCCCCAGATTATGCCCAATGGCTACGCATTCTCCTCACTTTACCGCCTGCAAAGCGTCCCCAGTTTGTTCTGTCTCAGCGGGGAGGGTCAGGGAAGAGGGAAGGGGCGGACCCTACCTTCATTTATTTTTTATTATTTATTTGTTTATTTATTCATTTATTTTTTTTGAGACGGAGTCTCGCTCTGTTGCCCAGGCTGGAGTGCAGTGGCGCGATCTCGGCTCACCGCAACCTCCACCTCCCGGGTTCAAGCCAGTCTCCTGCCTCAGCCTCCAGAGTAGCTGGGATTACAGGCGCACACCACCACACCCAGCTAATTTTTGTATTCTTAGTAGAGAAGGGGTTTCACTATGTTGGCCAGGATGGTCTTGATCTCTTGACCTCGTGATCCACCTGCCTTGGCCTCCCAAAGTGCTGAGATTACAGGCGTGAGCCACCGCGCCCAGCCTTTTTTTAAAATTTTTATTTATTTTATTGAGACAGAGCCTCACTCTGTCGCCCAGGCTAGAGTGCAGTGGCACAGTGTCGGCTCACTGCAACCTCTGTCTCCAGAGTTCAAGCGAATCTCCTGCTTCAGCCTCCCGAGTAGCTGGGACTATAGGCGTGAACAGGGGTTTCGCCATGTTGCTCAGGCTGGTCTCGAAGTCCTGACCCCAAGGGATCAGCCCACTTCGGCCTCCCAAAGTGCTGGGACTACAGGCGTGAGCCAGCGTGCCAAGCTGAGACCCTGCCTTCTGATTCTCCCCAGCAGGGCGACAACTACTGCATGGTCTCTTTCCCTGTACACAGCTGGTGTTTCCTAAGTGCAGGTTTGCTCTCTAACCTGGGAGTACTTTGCTAATAGTGCTTTACCTGCCTGAACCATACATCTCCCTGCCTTCACTTCTGGCCTCTGCCCATCAGTTCCCCCAACCTAGGATGGCCACCCTCCTCTTGCCTCCAGGGTCCCATCCTCACACACTCCTGTCTGGGCTCCCCCAGCCGTGAACCCCCATCGCTGGGGTCCCTACCCCAGACTGGGGTTCCTGAGGGTTCCCCAAAGCAGGGTGAGATCTCATAGAGAACAGAACAGACCCCAACTTGGTCTAAAAATTTTCTCCCAGGCATGGAGGGGTGAGCTCCCCATCGCTGGAGGCATGCAAGCCCCAGTGACCGTACCTTCCACGTATTCCATGACCATACACAGGTGGCGCCGGGTCTCAAAGGAGCAGAACATGCTGACCACAAAGGGGTTCTCAGCAAAGGTGAGAATGTCACGTTCCACAAAGACCTGCTGGATCTGGTTACGCAGGATCAAGTTCTGTTTGTTGATCTTCTTGATGGCAAAGCGCTGCCGCGTGTCACGGTGCCGCACCAGGTAGACAGCCCTGGGGACAGGGGGCCAGGCTTGCTGGGACCAGAGATCAAGGCCCCAGCAGGCACTGCAGTTCAGCTTAAGCCCAGATCCCAACCTGCCTGGCCTTTGCCTGTGCTGTGCCCCCTGCCTGGGTCGCCCTTTCTTCTTACCTGGTCTCCCTCCCAGAGCAGCCACCCTTGGGTTTAGGCTGCCATTGCTGGGGGTCATATAAATGGGCTGTACATGGCCCTTGTATATTGGCCTCTAGGCTGTATGTTTCTTTTATTTTTATTTTATCTTATTTTACATTTTTAGAGATAGCGCCTCACTCTGTTGCCCAGGCTGGAGCGCAGTCATGAGATCATGGCTCACTATAGTCTTGACCACCCGCCCCGCCCAGGCTCAAATGATCCTCCCACATCAGAAGCCTGGCTAATGTTTACATGTTTTGTAAAGATGGCGTCTCGCTATGTTGCAGAGGCTAGTCTCAAACTCCTGGTCTCAAGTGACCTTCCCACTTCGGCCTTCCAAAGTGCTGGGATTATAGGTGAGAGCCACTGCACCTGGCTGCTTGTGTCTTTCTTTCTCTCTTTCTCTCTCTCTCTCTCTCTCTCTCTCTTTCTTTTTAGACGGTCTCACTCTGTCACCCAGGCTGGAGTGCAGTGGGGCGATCTCGGCTCACTGCAACCTCTGCCTCCTGGGTTCAGGTGATCCTCCAACTTCAGCCTCCCAAGTAGCTGGAATTACAGGCATGTGCCATTATGTCCAGCTAATTATTCTATTTTTAGTAGAGATGGGTTTTTGCCATGTTGCCCAGGCTGGTCTCGAACTCCTAGCCTCAAGCGATCCTCCTACCTCGGCCTCCCAAAGTGCCTCCGCACCCAGTCCAGCTCTTTTAAAAGCCTGCTAGCACCAAGCTCAAATTTTTAACCATCCATTTGTTTTACACACAGCCCAAATAAGCACAATTTTAGCCACTGAGAGCCTGTTTGCTTTGCAGACTCATGAAACTGCACCCACGGATAAGATGAACTTTGTGGATTTCAAGACCCTAAGCTGCTACCGTCCCGCAGGACTCTGACCCAGAGACTCCGTGCCTGTGCTGTTGAACATCATCACTTAGACACGTAAGCCCTCTCTCTGATTCCCGTCTCCCCGGGGAGTTCCCTTGCCGGCCTCTCCATCTCGATGGTGACTACTGGAACCTCAGCCTCCAAAGGGCTTATGCTGTGCGGGACTTCCTTTGTATGCAAGCCTGCCATTCAAAGCAGCACCTAAATAAAACCCACTGCGTGCTACTCCCACTGGGTGGGCATCTATTTCCTTGATCAGCCCCCAAGCTCCTAGAACGCCCTACACCTGGGGCAGGTAAAGGCCTGGCTCGTGGACAGAGCACACATGATTAAGGCCTGGCTCATGGACAGAGCACACGTGAGGCTGTAACCTCACTATGGCATGTCTCCACTTCCCCCTCCAGGCCTCAGGTGCCCTCTCTGCCAATTCAGGGGTGAATGTGTGAGCCCTGCTAGGGTGGGAGGGGGATGCAGGAGCTGCCTGGGCCTCAACCATCCCCTCAGGCATCTGTGAAATGGGTCTATGCAGGACTCAGGGACTCACCCATAGGCTCCGTTGCTAATGAGTTTGATGGTCTCAAAGTCGCTTTCGCATGGCTTCCTCCGTGACTGGCCGACCAGGGCGCGGCTCTGCGGGACAGGAAGGGCTCAGGGTCCTGTCCCACTGCAGAGCTGGCCAGGCTTCTCCCGCCCTCAATCCCAAACCACTGGTCCTGGTGCCTGATGCTACCTCCCCCCCTGTCCAAACTTCTCCAACTCAGCTTCTGACTTTCTGTCCTTTTTTGGTCACAGCTGTGCCCTCCTCCTGGAAAACTCTTATACATCCTGCAAAACTCACCTTTCCGGTGCCCCTCCAGCACTGCCCCCACCCAACTTCCAAGGCGTGACAGTCCCACCTGCTGTCACCTTGCCTCCAAAGTCACCGATGCTAATTAAGCTACATGCAAGACCTCGGCAAACCCAGCCCTTTCTGCGGGTGCCTGGTCCACTCTGGAAAGAACAAGATGGGCGGGGCCCCCCAGCCTCTGCTACTCACCTCCGGGGACTCAGGTGCTGGGGGCTGTTCTTCTTCAAGGTGACTCAGTGGCACCATCTCTGCAAGATGAGGGAGGAGCCTCAGCTGGAACCTCCCCCACCTCATCCTGCATCACCCAGCAATTTCCTGAGGCCTCTAGATTTCTCACCCCCAGCTGGGGATGCGGTGCCTCCTCTTTCCAGCTCCCATGACACTGTCATGAAGCCACACCGGGGAGGCTGGATGAAGCAATGACTGAGGAACCTTCTAGAAGGGCCAGTGGGCTGCCCTGGCTCTGAAGTGCTCAGTTATGATCAAACTCAGGCTCTGAGCCTTGAGCCTGTGAACACGGAATGTGACGCAGGCCCCGTGGGTGTCAGCTCCTAACATCTTCCTCAGCTCAGGATGCAGCCCAGGTGGAGGGTCCAGTATGTTCTTGCCCCAGGCCTTGGCAGAGGGGCAGCCCCTAGCGAATGCCTGGCAAACATGGTCCAGTCACAGACCACATGTGATCTGGCCTTAGGTACACCTGGGTTTGATTCCCTGCTCAGCCTTATCTGCCTGGAGCTTCAGTTTCCCCAGTTTTATTTTTTATTAGTATGATTATTTAATTTAATTTATTTATTTATTAGAGATGGAGTCTCGCTCTGTCACCCAGGCTGGAGTGCAGTAGTGTGATCTCGGCTCACTGCAACCTCTGCCTTGTCCGGAGCTGCGCGCCCCAGCCATAGCGAATAATAACTGACGATTAAAAAACGCCTGAGCTCTATTCATTTCCACCTCATACCTCCTCCCTAGATTTACCTTTTTCCCTGTATTAATACCTCATAAAAGATGGCGCTCTTCCCGCTTCTTCTTCACCCATTTTTCCCGCGCCCTCGAAAATCACTGCCTGACAGCGCAGGCGCAACATGACGTTCGACCAGAGAAACCAATACCTACCTGGCCACGCCCTCCGCGATGAAATCATCTCCGCCTCTGGTCCAACCCCTTCCCCTCCAAATGTATATAAGGCATTGCATTACCGCCATTAAACGAGACTTGATCAGAGCACTGTCTTGTCTCCATTTCTCGTGTCTCTTGT